ATCTTTATCTTCTCTTGTTAATGAAACATTATATTCACCACTTTATTTTAATGAAGAAACAATAATAAAAATGAATGGTTTAAAATCTTATATTAATGATAAAATTAATAATATTCCTAAAGGAATAACAGAAAATATTAAAGTTATTAATGGTATTATTGTAAAACAATTAATTAAATATGGAAATGAAGAAGTAAAATTTGAATCTGTTGTTCCTTTCACAAATTTTAATCATCATTTTTATTATGATGATAAAACTTATAATCTCAAACAAAATAATTTATTTATTTCATTTGGAAGAAAATCAATTGATTGTTCAGCAATAATGAAATATTGTTGTAACTCAAATTCAAGTGATGAATATGTTTATACATATAGTAATAAAAATTATTATGTAGCAGAAATATATTATGTATTTAATCAAACAAAATCAAATGAATATGAAATAAGTTTATGTCATATTAATTTAGATGGAAGTTATAATAAAATTAAAACATTTGATAAAATTAAAGTTTCAGATTTAGTACAAGAAAGAGAAGAAACAATTGATGAAACAGAATATATATTACCATCATTACCAAAACTTACAGTATAATTATAAATGATCTTTTTATTTAATCAAATTTCATCTTATATTTTTTACTTTTATTTTTATGTTCAAAAGAAAAGAATTATAGAAAGAAATAGAGGAGTTATTTCAGAAATAAATTTTGATTATATTAAACAAGTTAATGAATGTTATGAAAGTTGTTATAACAAAAATTAATAAATAAATGAATTAATTTAATCTGTTCCTGTTTTTTCTTTAACAAAATATTTGTTATTACAAATATATTCACAACCACCTTGTAATGTACATCTCCAGAAACAATCTTGACATACAAGCATAATTGGACATCTATCATTTGATTCTTTAGTTAAAGGATTAGTAATATAAGGATGTTCATTATTAGGAATTAATAAAGTTCCAGAAAGTGTTACATGAGCATTATCTTTAGTAATTCCATCACAAAATGTACCATAACCACTTAATCTTTCAGTACTACATAAGAAACAATATGATGTATTATCTTTAAGTGGTGGAATATATTTTCCATTTCCTGCTTTTCCTATAATTGAATTAGTATCTATTTCATTATATTCTAATGAATAAGCAAATTCTTTTGAAGGAGAGAATAAATTATCTAAACCAGCATTAGTAATATTATAAATAGTATGTGATTTTTCTATAGATGAAAATGGTTTATCAGGATAAGGTTTATTATCAATTTGTAATTGTAAAGATGCTAATAAAGGATTTCTACTACATGTTACTTCATTAGTTGTTCTAGGGAATAAAAACATTAAAGAACTTACATTTGTCATAGCATAAGTAGTATTACATTTTAAACCATTAGTCATTGGTTTTTGTGAAAATGCTTGATAATCAACATATTGAGAAGGAATAATTAATTCTTTTGTTTGATATTTTTCTATTAATTCATTTAATATACTATCTTTAATATTAAATCCATTAATATTTGTTCTACAATATTTTAAACTTCCATCTGTTATCATAAAACTTACTGTTGTATCTTTTCCAACAATAATATTTTGTGATTCACGTAATGCACCAGTAAATGAATGAACATTAAATGAATCACCTATTTGTGTAAATGCATGATATTCTCCATTTCTTTTAATTATATTATATATATCACTTTTAATTACTTCTGTTATATTATCTTTTATTTCATCTGATCCACTATATGAAGATGATGAAATATGTGAAATTTTATTTAATATTGTTTCTTGTTTACATTGACAAATAACAAAATTTTGTTGAATTGCCATTTTAACTTCAAGTGTTAAATTTCCAAATAATGCATTAGGAAACATTTTCATAGCAGCAAATGGTAATAAATCATCTATTGGAATAATTACTTCAAATTCTTTTTCAACTGTATTATCTGGTGATTTAATAAATTCTTCCATTGATATATAACATCCACAAATATTATCTTCCATATTATATGCTGATTCCCATTGTGTATAAATTCCTGGTTTATAATCTAATTCTTCTTGTGCTTTTAACATTCTAATAGCTGCATTTTCATATAATGCTTCTGTTTGTTCACATGCTGTTTTCTTATTTCTTGAATATACTCTATATGCATCAAATAAATGTGTTGATGATTTTAATCCTACAAAGAATACAACTGTTTGATTTTTTATACTTTCACATTTATTATCAAATTCTGGATTTGAAATACCTGGTGCTTTTAATTCATTCCAAAATTGTGAACTTGGTTTAATTTTAATATTAACTAATGCTGTAATAGATGATTTATCTATATTTGTAATTTGAATTGATTCATCTGTTAATTTTAATTTTGTATACATTCCTTTTTGTACAGGACATGGTGGATCAGATGAATCAATTGATAAACATTTATTATCATGAACACCTGAATTAGCTTCAAGTATTCCATCTGTATAATTAAAGTATTTAATAAGGTCACCTGTTTCTTCTTGATCTAATGCTTTAATAACGTTATAGTTCATCTTCTTTATTTTGATTTATTAGTTCAATCTTTTATTTCATTTATGAAGTTTGGTAATTGGAAAAGATTCAAAGAAGGATTAAAGAAATTAGCAGCTGCATTAGCAGTTGGTGCTAAATTAGGTGGAAATATGATAGAAAAAGCAAAACCATTAATAGATACTGCTGTTGATTTTATTCCAGGTGGAAATATTATTAAAAAAGGAACAGAAATAATGAATAAATTAGCAGAACCTACAAGTGAAGCATTGAATAGAATAGCATCAGGTGAAAATGTTATTGGTACAACTAAAAGATATTTAAATGAAATTAAAAATGAAATACCAAATGATATTACTAAAACAGCAAGTAATATTATCAATCAAATACCTGAAAGAAAATCAATAAAAAGAAAAAGAAAACCATTATTATTTGCTAATAGACTTAATAATGAAGAAGTGAATGATAATATAATAGATGAAATAGATGAAGAAGATGAAGTAGATGAAGTAGATGATTATCTATAAATAACTAATTAATATCATTTGATTATTATGAGATTTGGGTTCTTAAAGAAACTAAAGAATGGAATTAAAAGTGTTGGAAAGAAAATAACAGGAATAGGAGGTAAATTATATAAAACAACAAGTACAGTAGTATCTAAAATACTACCAATATCAAAAACAATAACATCAATAATACCTGGTGGACAAATGATTGAAATGGTACTTGATAGACTCCCTAAATGGTATGAAACAAATGGAAAAACACTTACAGAAATAAGTGAAGGAAAGAAAATAAAAGATGTTATTAAAGATTATGGAAAAACACTTTATAATGATGTTATTTTAAATAAAAATAATACAAATCATTATAATTTATCATCATTATCTCCTTTTGAACAACAAAAATTAACAAAATAAAGAAAAAGAAGAATCAATTAATAATTGAGAGGTCATTAGAATTTAATTGTTCTTTTAAAGGAGGAAAGAGTCTTAACAGTGAAATCTCTTTCAAACACAAAATGAGGACCTCCTTCTGATAAATCAAATGATAAGATCCCTCCATAATAAAGATATTCATAGAGATCAATAACATTTCCTCCAAAAGACTCTTCTGCTCGTTTTTTAATAATATCTTTAGGGATTCCTTTCATTCTTATTAAATAATCAATGTCATCATCAATGTTTGATAAAACATCGAGATAACATTTCTTCCCCAAGAAGATGGACTTAATTGCCCATGACTCTTTTCCTTTAACTGTTGGAAAATCAGAATGGAATTGTCCCATTTTGGTTCCAACTAATTCTCTACCATATTTTTCTTTAAATAAATATTCCAATAAAGGCAGCTTTTCTTTTAAAATATGAATAGAATCCGTGTCTTGGTAGAAGACATCAATATCATTATCCTCGCACAAATAAATCAATTCATTCATTATTCGTTTTGACATCGACAATATTAATACACCAATGATATTTGGAGTATAAAATGAATCCATTTGTGCTTTGGTTTGAACCATCCATATGTCTGACCCATTTATCTGTTCTGCATAAATAACACTTTTATAATTTCTGGACCAAAACCTCATCATATCTTTTTTACTCCTATAAAATTTGTACTCAGTGAGAGTTGGTTTTTGAATAGTTTTCCCATAACAACTATTCATAATTAACTTGAAAACTATTTCTGCTGGGTTTTTATCTCTTTTCATAGTAGCTCTGAAACTATAAACTTTTTCTATCTCTTTTGAGAATGTGTCAATTTTATGTCCACACCAATAAATCCCCTCTTGTACCTCGTATTCAATTGATTGGTACTTTATCAGATCCTCAAGATATATCGAGTCAACCACCATTTCTGCACCGTCATTAATATAATTATTTGTTCCCTTTATTTTATTAAATATGATCGGCATCTTACGATGTTTACCTACATTTGTTACTGTAATTTTTACGATAAAGAATGAAATAAACTTCTCTTCATTTGGAGTGACTTGGTCCTCACTCATCAATCTTTCCCAATACCAATTAATGGGTTTGGTCATCAAGAACGGATAACCTGTGGGTAATCGAAGTCTATGAATTGCACTAGGGTATAGGGAACATGCATCAAAATCAACAATCTCATTTTCAATTATTCTTTTCTTATTTTCTCCTAGCATATTTCTCCCTCCTATAACAGCTTGAGAAATAAAATCCCGTATTATACCAGTGTACTCAAAAATATCACAATTAGATAAACACTTTGTTCTAAAATAATTAAATGCTAATGAACTAATGGAGTTATAATACACACAATCACAATTAAAATGTGTTTTGATCATTTCTCTATACTTAAGAAATCCCTTTCGTAATATTTCTACATCTTGTCTACAATAATATAAGCAATATAATTTAGAATTGAAACGTCCATCTGAATATAAGCATTTAGTTTTAATAAGATTTGTTTTGAAGTGGGATATTTTTGAATCATTCCAAGGAGGAACTTCTTTTATCCAACAATTCTCAACCACACCAATATTGAATGTGTTGTGGTTATAATACATATAAGGAAATACTTCTTTTTCATATTCACCATCAAGTTTAAAGAAGTTCTTAAAATTCGATATCGACGTTGGAATTAAAGCTAATGTGTCTTTAAAGATTAATGTTTTTCCTCTATGTGTTTTAACAATCATTGAGTAAATTATGTTTTCTCTTTTAATGATTTTCACAATTCCGTATTTAGCTAAAAATCTTCCGTCATATCCTAAGTTGTGGAAATAACAACAGGGGTTCGATATACGCTCTAAAAATTTAATGAATTCATCTCCACAATTAATTCCATAAAATTCATGCATTATACCTGCCTCATCGCTAACAACCACACAAAATGGGATATGTTCTTCGTTGATAATCATGCATTCAAAATCAGCAAACAACAAAGTGAAGGCTATGTTTTCTGTAATTTCTTTTTCTCTAATTTCTCTAAACTCAGAAACAGACATAGCATTGACATGAAGAGGAAATTTATCTGATTCAAACAGCATTTTTTTAACAATATCTTCTTTTGAGATTGGAATAAGAATATTTTTATCAATTAAAAGAGTAATTGCTTTAAACGCTGGAATAAAGTCATTTAATGAATGAACATATTTATTGTTCTGCTTTTTTATTACGTTCATTAAAGATAGTAGTTCGATGTTATTTTGGTAACTATATTCGTTTATTTCTTCATAATGTTTAATGAAATAACTTGTCACTTTTATGTTATTATTGATTATATAATGGTTTCCCTTTCCCCAACGAAATAAGAAAATATTAATTTCTCTTGTACCATAACTCATCACTTCTCTCTTTATTTTTTCTCTAAATTGTTGGTGTAATAACTTAATACTACTTTAAGTTTGTATTGTTCAGCAATAGCTTTAACTGTCTTTTTAGAAACTGTTTCTCCTATTAACTGAGACCTAATCCTTCTAATTTCATCTTCAGATAACTTTCTACTTTCAATTAATGTTTTAACAAAACAATTTTCTTCGATTCTAATCTCATTTTTAACATATATTTGGTATAGCTTAAGTAATTCTTTAAATATAATATATTTATCTGATAAGTAGAAGTTAAAGAAACCACCTTCAATCAACTCTCTTAGTGGTGGGAGAAGAGCAGTGATTACGATTCGACTAACAATCTTTCCTGGTGGAATTCTCACTTCTTCATCCTGACGATTATAATTCTCCCAAAATTCCTCAATACCATAACTAAAAGAGAGACATCTGTTAATGAAAGACGTTATGGTAGTATTATCCAAATTAATTATAAAATGTCTCTGAGCATTTCCTGCGTAAATTTCTACTAATGGGACCAAATCGTTTTCTTTAATTAATTTAATTATCCGAAACGTTTCTAATAACATCCTCCTCCATCTTTCTCTATTGTTAATTTCACCAAATAAATTTGGTCTTAAATCACTAATTATATCACTTGTATTGGACATTTTGATTCTATCAATATTTTGTATTTCCTCTTCAGTATAGGTAAAATTATTTCCTTCTTCTTCTAATATATTATTAACAAAATCCTCATCATTCCGATTTAACTCTTCTAGAACCTCGTCAACATAACTAGCGTCTATACCGTCTTCTTCATATAAAGTGTCATTTCTATCACCGATTGACTCACGATTAGAGTGTAACGTTTTCCTACTCCTCTCTTTTATCGCTCTCTCTCTAGCCAAGTTATAAATATCCCTTCTTTCTTTTCTATTGTTAAACCGTCTAATCGTTTGTTTTTCAATTTCTTCAAGTGTCTTTTCATTTCTTTTCAATTCATTTTGACGGTGCACCCTCTCACCAATTGTCACAAACGTTTTATTGGCATCAACACTAGGAACAAAAATGGAGGGAGAGGTATTGTCACATGTGGAATTATTACCAACAGAAACTCTGGAAGTTGGATTGATATTGACTATTTCATCTGTATTGAAGTTGGGATTGTCAGTATGGTCTGATAAATAATTAACTCTCTCAACTCTCTCTCGATTCTCTTGTTGTCTTTTATTACGTCTTCTTCTCCTCTGAGCTTCTCTTCTCTTTTCAAGAATTTGAAACATGTTTTGTGGGCGTCTAAATGACATGTTTGATCTGTGGTAGATCTTTTCTTTAAATTTTCTATTTTGTCTGTTTACTGTCTGACCATTGTCTGTGTATCTCCATGTTAAAACTATAGTTATAATAAATTATAGTAATTTAAATTTAGATTTGTCTGTTTAATGTGTTGGGTACACGTTTTATAAGTTATTTAAAGTTTGGTACTTTTTATTTCATTCAATGTTCCCTCTCTTGTCTAGCATTGTGCAAGACATCAACGAAACCTGCAAAGGTCTCCTCGAAGATGGTAATTTAGATTTAGACTCTAAGTGTCTAATCTATTCCATCCTTTATTTTATGAGGAAGTTTGAGGACATTCACTATAATTATAGTGATGTTCTCTTTTTCTATATTACAGGTTTCGTTGATTCTTGCACCAAAGACCAGCGATTCAATAAACTTGGAGGTTTATTAGAGTTATTAGAGAACTTTAATTTCGTTAATGATTTGGAGTAATAATTCATTATTTATTTCATATTTTATTTAATCTTTCAATTAAACAAAATATTTTTTAAAAAAGAATTAAATTAATTTTTAATTTTTATCTTCTTCTTTAGGTTGTTTTGGTTTCTTTTCAATTTCTTTGAACACCTTCATTCTTCTATGGTGCTCTCTTTCAAAGGATCTCTTATAAAAAACGTCCATTATTTCTCCGTACTCTTCTCTAATGCCAGAAGTTACTTCGTATAAGGTGTCAATAAGTCTATTTTCATTTTCCAATAAATCATCGTATTTTTCTTCATTCAAATAATATTTGTGTTCATTTTTGAATTGGTCTATGAATTCTTCGCAAATATCTCTTAGCGTAGATACGTCTTGGAAATAGTTTTTGAGATCATTTACTTTTATATTCTCGAAGCTGGTACTTGTTATTTTATCTTCTGTATCCATGTGTGTTTTCTATCATTTCTTATTGGTTTAAATATTGAGATGTGACGGACATTTAGATAGACAGACAATTTTACAGACAAAACAGACATTTCTATTTTTATTATTTTATATTTTTATTATATTTATAGTATGACGGATATTTTTTATTACCTCATACAGACAATTAATTTGTTATTTAAACACTTATCAATGTAAGTAGCATTCAATGTCTTCAACTACTACAAAGCCTCTTCTTTCCATATTACTTTCAACTATCGCTAAGGAAGTAAGAGTACAGTTAAGTCAAGCCATTGACGAAACTACTCAAATAGTTTTGTATGGCTTAGTCTATTGGTTCCGTATTTGGGACCATGAACATAACTTAAAGTACTCTAAGGAAGTGTTTGATTGGCTTGACTTCTTACTTATAGATATAGAATCTAATTTAATAGACTCTACAACTCTTATTCAATTGCTTAAATATATTCGTTCTGGTTGTTATATACCAGATACAGAACATTTTAATTGAATGCTTCTTTTCTATTGTGTTTAAATAACAAACTATTTTTTATTTTTAGAAAAAATAACAAAAAATCAAATTAAATAACATTTTCTAAAAATAAAACAATCATAAATAATTTAACTAAATAATTGAATTATAATAATTCAGTTTTTCTCCTTTTAGGTTTTGTCTCTTCTTTCACCTTTTGAGTTAACTCCTTTTCTTTCTTCTCTTCACTTCTTAAGCGAGTTATTATAAGCTTATTCTTCTTTTCAAACTCTTTTATTTCTCTCTTAAGCGTATCAATAACATCAAGATGTTTTGTAAGCGTCTTATTAAATGTGGATAAAGGTATGTTACCAAACGACATACTGACTCCACCGTCAAGAACATGACATGTTTCAGATACATGGATAATATCATTTATTAAACTAACAATATCTTTTAATGTTACATTCTCTTCTTCTATCTCTGTACTTTCATCTTCGAATATATCAGCATGATTACTAATAGGTATACCATACATTACTTTATCTAATAACCATGTTTAGACGTAGAGTCATTAAATATTAATATAGTTTATTATTAAACTATCAATTTTATTATAATCTAAGTGTAACCCTATCTAAGATCTCATCTATTGACATTTCCCGAATTCATACGTAAATTAGTATTATAGAAAAGGTGATTACAATACATTACGTAATAATGATGTATTTACCATTATATAAATAGATTACGTTATATAAAACAATAAATAATTATAAAATAATACGTTATATAAAATAATGAAAATACAAAAAGTTGAATACATCAAAGAAAAGGAAATACAAAAAATGGAATAATTCAAAATACGAAAAGAATACCTCAAAAGAATGTACCCAAACGTCAAAAAAAGATGAATTCCATAAACTAATTATAAATAAAATATTGATATATAAAACACAATCTATTTATATAAAAAAGCGTTATATAAAACAATAAATAATAAAAGTTATAAATAACAATAATCCGTAAAATTCCACTTAATTACTATATGATGATATCACACTATCGTCAAATTGTACCATAGAAAAAATTATTATAAAAAGAAAAAAATAAAATAAATTCTAATTTAAGAAAATTAAAAAATTAAAAATAAAAACATTAATTATATTATATTAAATTAATAAAGTAGTTAATTAAGTATTAATAGAACTTGTGTCTATTGTTCCTGGCTCAGGGGAGACTAATCCCATCCCTTCGTCTTCGTCTTGTAGTTCAACTACATATGTTTGGTTGTGATCTCCACAGTGCTCCATGACATCCATCATGTTTTTAATTACAAGGTTTTTAATTTCTTTAGTGATGTCAATTTCGATTTTTAATTGTTTGATTAATTTAATACTTTCGGCATTTATTAGCCCATTAATCGAAATTACTACTGCAATTATTTTGACATCTTTTAATTTCTCTATTTTCATTAGCCTATTTTTTAATTCCTTATACATATTTCTTTTCTTCCAATAGGCTCCATTAATATTATGATCTGCCACAATATTAATATCAAATAATAGACCAGTTTTATTCTTTTTATCTAGTACATATATATCTGATATTTTATGATATTGTTATTCACTTTTTGATATTATTTATTTGTTCAATATCATAGTAATGTCATTGTATTGGAACATTGTTTCATATGTTTATTTTTTATATTGTTTATTTCATATATATTTTCTTATTATCTAATATGATGATGCCAATATTGTCATGTTTCTCAATTTGTGATTTTTTATGACAAATACAAGATAATAGAATGTGTTCTACTGTGGCTATCTTGTCTTTACAAAGTAGGCAGTATAATCTTTCATTTTTTAATATTTTATCTTTGCTGTACACACTGAATATTACACCATCTTGCATTTTAGTTAATTGGAGAAATGAATTTTTCTTTATATTGATGGACTTCCATGCATTGATTGTAGTATTTTATCTACAAATTTTGACTCGAACCATCTTCTAAAATGTCAACTTGTTTGATTTCCTTTTTTTGATGTATTGGTTGGTCATTAATTTCTTTAATTTTACTACTACCTCTTTTTCTTTTTTATTTTCATTTATTATTTCTTCTATTTGAGTCTCTGCGATTTTATGACTTAGTGATTTTTTAATTATATTCCATATTCCTTTCTTAGAATATCATCTATCTATTATGTTATTTCCTATTTCACTCTTGTACAATAGTAAATTACTGTTATAATTAATTCAATAACATATTCGTCACTTAGGCTTATTAATCCTTCACCCATTTCAATTATAGGGACATATAGACGGTCTTTGGAGTTACAACAAATGTATTTTGCCTTTCTTAAATATTTTCTTATCTCCAAATCCATTCTATCTAGGTCAGTTACCTTCCAATTTACTACTGATGCTGAATATCTTCAGATGGGTATTACTTCGGTATTAATTCTTGTAATATAACTTCTATTACTACTTTCATCAGTATTTATTTCTTCCATTTTCATCATCATCTTTTCTTTGATGATTTTACAATTGAATGTATCATTAATTTCATCTGACTGCCATACACCTAAATATTTATACAAGTCCTCTCCTTCAATTAATGTGATGTTTTGCATTCCATCTGGTATTTTATTGATGTTCTTTAATACCATTCTTGACTTCTTTTCATTTCCATCCTTATTCCACTTATTATTTCTTTAATTTCTTTGTGGATTGTTCCTATTTCTTCACTACTTAGTGTCATTATTCTCAAATCATCCATATACAATGTATTGTTTGATTTTGGGAACTTCTCTTCTATGATTTGAGAAATTACATTCATTTTGATGATGAAGAGTAGAGTTGATAATGAATCATATTGTAAAATTCATCAATTTAATACATCCTAGATATTCATTATATTTATGTCCTATGAACATCTTCCATCTCTTCATCATACTTTCTACAATGTCTATGATGACACCCTCTTCATTAAAATATTTAAGTGCTTCTATTACCCATTCATGATTTACTGTTTCATATGTTTTCTTAATATCATAATATGACTCTACATATTTTGGGTATTTCTCTTCTTTTTGCTGCTTTAACATATAACTGTTAATTAATCCTTCTTTATCAGCAAGAGATTGCAGTTTACATCCCAATTGATTTTTACTAATTTTTAATGATTCATTATTCATGTTAATTCTATTATGAATCTTCTCTTTCAATATGGAGGTAAATACTTTCATTATTACATTTGTACAACTGATATGACGATAATTAGTGACATCGTTCATATCACCTCATTTGTGGATTAATATAGTTCTTCCACTTACCATATCTAGGGGGATGAATTCATTGAAGTTTAACTAATCATTGAATATATTAAGAATGGATTCTCTTGATGATGACATTCTCTTCCAATAATACCCATATATAGTGTCAATGCCTGGTGATTTCCAATTACTTATTTTCATCATTCTTAAATTTAAATCATCCATTGTGATGATGACATTATTATAATTCATGTATCTTTCATTCCACGAGGTGATTTGATTTATTTTCAAATGTTCTTTATTTAATATCACCTGTGTTTCATATAACGATTTCAAATATTCTAAAGTAATATCGTTATTTGGGTATATTTCATTTTGTTTTTCTTCTTTATTTTGATTTTCTTATTAGAATCAAACATGATTTTATTTGTATTGATTCTGACAATTTCATTCTTATTAAATTTAATTCTTTCTTTAATCATCCTCATCATATATTTTAGGTACTTTATTCATTCTTGTGCTTTGATTTTAATTTCATCTGCATCTTGTTCATTCAATCTCATGATGCATTTTATTCTGTACCATTCCCTTGATTAGATCTTCTAGTCTATTTATTTTCTTTATGACTTCTTTTATTTCATCAAATTTATCTCATTTAAATTTATTTTGGAGATAGTAATGCATACATATTGAAATCATTTTCATATCTTCTTGTAGATTTTCTATTCTCCTGACCATACCCATTTATTATTAATTTCTCTAATTAATTTATCTGATTCTTTCATTTTCCAGTAGTAATTAATATTTACACATTTATCTATCTTCATTCCTTTAACTTGAGTGATGATAGAGTTAAGATATTCATCATCAATATCAGTAGAGTTATTTTTTATGATAATATTTTTTATTATTGGGTTACACTCTACTTTCCCTTCTATGATTGAGTTCACTTTCATTTTAATATATCTTTTAGTTGTTTATTTTATTTTATGTGATATTTTAATATTATTAATGTATTCTTTCTCATTATTTACATTAATATTTATTACTTTTATTATGCTTTCTATTTGTTCCCATCTTAATTTCTTATTTAATTTATTATTTAACCAATTAATTGCAAAACAATACAACACATCAATTAAAATTCTATTTGTTTGATTTATTTTGTTTTCTTCTCTTCTTGACTGATTATCATTTCTTGTTTTTTGATATTCAGTGTTTTGCACTCTTCTTCTTCTATTTCCAGAATTGTCTTTTTCATAGGGGTAGTTTTGTTCATTTGTATTGTCCCAGATGATGATGTTCTCAATATTGGTTGTGTATTTATCACTAGAGTCATTGTTTTCTTCTTCTCCAGTTCATTCTGGGATAAAAAATTTTCGATACTTTCTTGTTGTTTTGATATTAATTGTTTTTGTTCTTCATTTTCTTTTTGTGTATGGTCTAATTCTTTTCTTGTTATTTCTGCAATCTCATAGTTTTCAATCGCACTTTTTTGATATACAGAGATTTGATTTTCTTTATCTCTTATGTTCTTCTCTAGCAGCTCAGCACTCTTCTCCAGCGCATCAGCCTTCTTCTTCTCCAGCTCAGCACCTTTAAGGACTTCGTCCTTCTCCTTCTTCAGCTTCTCATAGCTAGCTCGGAGTGTTCGGATGGTTTCATCCTTGCCTCCTACTTCTATGTTCCTTCTACCATTTGCTTCATTTATTTTTCCTTGTAATGTATTATTTTCCTCTTTTAATTTAGAGTTTTCTTATTTCATTATATGTGTTTTGAATATTGTTTATTTGTGTTTTTATCTTTTCTATTTCTTCTTCAAACTCTTTCCTGACTGTTTCTCGTGCTTTTTGAATCATTTCATCTGAAATGGTTCGTTCTTCTTCTTTCTTTTTTGTTTGAAGTTCTTTAATAGTTTCTTCTAATTCTTTAATTTTATTTTGAAGTGTGTTAATTTCTTCTTTGTTGCATTCTTCTTCCATTTTCTCTTCTTTATCTTGTGTTTTCCCTTTATTTTCTTTTTCATTTATTATTCTTGCATATTTACATCTATCATTCATTTCTTTGATTTGATTTTTGTTTTTGATTCCTTCTTCGATTGTTTTAATATCTTCACTTGTCCAATCTTTTGTTTTATCTTTGATTTCTTCTTTGATTTTCTCTAGTGTTTTCTTTTTTCTTATTGAATATACTTCTTGGAGAATATTATACCATTTCTTTTCTTTACCTTCGTACTTTTTAAGTATTTCTGAATATTCTC